CCTTTTTTTTTTTTTTTGGAGGTTAACTTGAAAGAGGCCTTTTCAGTTCAAATTGGGGCAAACTGTCCTGAGCCTTTTCTTAAAAAGTGGAGCTCTGGAGTCAAACTGTCCTGGACAAGGAGAGCAGGATTTTAACAGATAGTGATGAGGGAGAAAGCTGGTTCAGGCTAATGAAACAGCATGAGCACAAAAAGGCACTGTGACAGGTGAGCTTAGGAATATATGGGGAAGGTGAGCAGACAGGTCTGACTGTGGAAGCGTTCCATCAGGGAGAGTCCTGGTGACAGTGCACAGCTTGAGGGGTAAGAATAAGGCTATGTCTTCACTTTCAGGCAGTGGAATCACTGAACTTTGTTACATAGCATTTATCACAGTTATGATTTGTCACTTGTGTGATTATTTGATTAATGTCTGCTTTCCCCACTGGTCTGTCAGGTCCATTGAGCACAGGCACTGTGTCTCTTTCTGCTCACCTCTGTACCCCCAACACTGGTTGATGGCCTCCTACATAACAGATGTTCAGTACACATTCTGGAAATTAACAGGTGGATGAATGAAGGAATGAATGATTTCTGGGTGGGGAGGGATACTTTGGATCAATGTTTCTAACAAATCTGAGCTCCAGTACTTGGTGTGATTCTCTTTCATGGTTTCCTTCTTTGCTTATCAGCAGTCATTAAGCAGGGGTAGGAATTAGCACCTTGTCGGCCAAGACTTCCTTTGGGCAAATCAGATTATTGAAGCTCTCCTTGGTGAAGTGTGCAAATCATGGTCGACATCTGCCAAGCCCTTGTTCTGTGCACACACTGTTTGACCTGAGGTAGCTTGAAATGGTCTAAAAACATGTATTTTTGGAATCAGATAAGACTGGTTCAAATTTTAGCTCTACCTCTTATTAGCTTTAAGTTTCTGAGGAAATTACCTCACTTCTTTGGATCTCCTTTCCTCATCTATAAAACAGGAATGACAATAAAAATCTACTTTATAGTGTTGTGAGGATTAAATTATCTGGGTAATATAAAGGGACTGGCATATAGGAGTTGTTGTTTTATTCTTTACATTTTATTTTATTTTCTCATTGTGTACTTGCAAATCGCAAGGAAATATTCATTTTATTTTTTCTGATTTTAAAAGCAACCTCATTGGGGTGCCCGGGTAGCTCAGTTGTTAAAGTGTCTGCCTTCAGCTCGGGTCATGGTCCCTGGGTCCTGGGATTGAGCCCTGCATCTGTCTGGCTCTCTGCTCATCGGGGAGCCTGCTTCTTCCTCTGCCTGCCCCTCCCCCTACTGGTACTCTCTCTCTCTCTCTCTGATAAATAAATAAAATCTTGAAAAAAAAAAAGCAACCTTATATGGGGGCGCCTGGGTGGCTCAGTCGGTTGGACGTCTGACTCTTGATTTCGGCTCAGTTCATGATCTCAGGGTCATGGGATCATGCCCCACTTTGGGCTCTGCACTGGATGTAGAGCCTGCTTGGGATTCTCTCTCTCTCGTCTCCCTTTGCCCCTGCACCCTCCCCCTGCTCCTGTGTTCTCTCTCTCTCTTGCAAAAACATAATAATAATAAATAAAATAAAAACAGCGACTTCATGCTCAGTGTAGAACATTTGTTCTAAACAGCAAGGTCTAAAAGACAATTTAATAACTTTATAAAACTGCATTTGAGATAAACGTGGATAGCATTTTGACACGTTACCTTCTAGTGTTTTCTCCATTCATGAGAAACCTTATTTTATTTATTTATTTCTATGAGAAACTTTATTTTAAATAGAGAATTCTGTCACTTGGCACACAAAGCAAGGGAGTACAAATAGATGAACAGTGAAAATTAAGTCTTCCTGGGGTGCCTGGGTGGCTCAGTTGAGCATTTGCCTTCGGCTCAGGTCATGATCCCAGCATCCTGGTATCAAGCCCCGCTTTGGGCTTCCTGCTCAGTGGGGAGTCTGCTTCTCCCTCTGCCTGTGGCTCCCCCTGCGTGTTCTCTCTTTCTCTGTCCGATAAATAAATAAAATCTTTTAAAAATAAGAAAATAAATAAATAAATAAATAAAAGTAAGTCTTCCTTTCTACCCTGACCCCAGCTACCAGTTCCCCTCCTCAGAGACAACCACTGTTACCAGGTTCTTGGGTGGCCTCCCAGTGACAGTTTACATATTTTGAAAATTTATTAATTTTCATATCATCTTCCTCATGCAAACACTGGAATAGTGTACCTGCTGTTTGCACTGGAGGCTACTACAAAAGTGAGTTCCCTTTCAGTGCTCATAGACACCTGTGGGCAGAGCCACATAGGGCTCTGGTGACAGGTTCTGAGGGCTCAGCAAGTCTTGGTCTTGGTTGTATATTTTTACTTTTTGAACTGAAAATCTGCAAACAACTGAACAGGTGTTAGAATTCTCAGTCTCAACCGTTTCTACTGTTGCTCATGCGAGGAGTAGATCTGCAGGCGATGGCTGGGGCCAGCAAACAGAGCGGTCTGAGGCCAAATTCAAGCTTCTCCAGCATTTCATTGACCCTTAGTCAATGTTTTCTAAACTGACAACTAGAATGAGTGTTCTGACATGGAAAGATAATATGTTGCAATTGGGATTGACCCAAAAATCCTAGAATGCTCTGGAGTGAAGGCCGGAGCCTAAATCAATATGGTTCACTCTAAGACCAGCCCTACCCCACCCCCACCTTTCAGGCCTTACAACCCTGCTACCCTCAGCTCATCACTGGAGTGTCTTCTCTGCAGGTTACACCCCGTTGGATGCAGGTCTGTCCCATCCAAACTCTCACTGGGCTATCTGACTGCCTTCAGACCGGCCCTACCCACCAGGTCCTCTCCACTCAGCCTTCCTCTTTCCCTCCTGTTAATTAATTCATCAACCCAAGAACACTGAGAACTTGACCCGTTGCTGGCCCGTGGACAAGGAAGGGGAGATAGGAAGTTAGACTTGTTCAAAGTTAAGCTCCAGAGAGCAGTGAATAAGAATGAACTGAGGCATTTGAATATTGTACACCTTAAACTAATATAACACTGCATGTGTTACATTAAAATAAAAAAAAAGAATGAACTGATGCATTTGAGACACCTCATCTGTAAAATGAATATTAAATAATATAATGGATATGACAGTGCTTTGTAAATAGTTAAGTGCTGTATAAGCATAAGGGACTCATATTTTTATAAGAATGATGATAATTTAAAACTAAGATATGGAAACCAACAATTTTACAAATGAATTTTTAACTTACAAAAGTGCTACTTATTCATTTTAGAGGATTTTTAAAGTATATTTAAAAAGTAAGGGAAATTCTCAGAGTCTTATCAGGAAGCGTGGTACCTTACATTATTTATACACTATCTTCTCTTTCTATCCTTATGGGACTGTGTCTATGGGAGGATTATTTTTCCCTTGGCAACAAATTTTGCCACATGACTTACTCTGACCAATTGAGTGTGAGTGGAAATGGCACATGCAACTTCCAAGCTGAAGTTTTAAGAGCCTTGTGAGGCTCTGCCATCTTTTTTCTCTTCCTGTCACATCTCAGCTCAGGGCTTTTCTGTCATCCTGGGCCTTGGAATGAAGACCCCTGTAGGACATATAATGTGAGTGAGAAATAATTATTTATTCTTGTCAGCACCTGAGATTTGGGGGTTATTTGTTACTGCAGCATAAATTGTACTAAGATACTGATATACCGAGATATAATAACTGTTAATATTTTGATGTATACCCTTCAGTCTTTTTTCTATGCTAATATTCTATATATCTATTTTTAAGATTTTATTTATTTATTCGACAGAGAGCGAGAGAGAGAACACAAACAAGGAGAGTGGGAGAGGGAGAAGTAGGCTTCCCGCGGAGCAGGGAGCCCGATGCGGGGCTCAATCCCAGGATCCTGGGATCATGACCTCAGCTGAAGGCAGACGCTTAACGACTGAGCCACCCAGGCGCCCCAATATTCTATATTTTTTTTAAAAGATTTTATTTATTTATTTATTCATGAGAGACAGAGGGAGAAGCAGGCTCCCAAGGAGCAGGGAGCCCGATGCGGGACTCGATCCCAGGACCCCGGGATCATGACCTGAGCCGAAGGCAGACGCTTAACCATCTGAGCCACCCAGGCGCCCATATTCGATATTTTTTATAAAAATAGGATCATAATGTATCTATGATTTTGTGAAGTGCTCTTCTCATTTCATCTGCAAATATTTTAGTATATATCTCTAAAACACAAGGATTCTTCTTTAAAAAAAAAAGGTATTTGTTTATTTGACAGAGAGAGACACAGCGAGAGAGGGAACACAAGCAGGTGGAGTGGGAGAGGGAGAAGCAGGCTTCCTGCTGAGCAGGGAGCCCGATGCGGGGGCTCGATCCCAGGACCCTGGGATCATGACCTGAGCCAAAGGCAGACGCTTAACGACTGAGCCACCCAGGCGCCCCAACACAAGGATTCTTCTTGAAACATACTCACAATACCATTATCACACTTAAAATGAACACTATTCCAAATAAGGTCCAGACTTTGCACAAGGTTGATGTGTCTCTTACATCTCTCTTCATTTCTAGGTTCCTCCTCCCCGTCTTTCTCTCTCTCCTTTACCCCCTTGTGATGTATTTGTTGAAGAAACTGAGCTGGTTTTTCCATAAAGTTTCTCACAGTCCAGATTTTGCTGATTGTATATTCCCATGGTGCCATTTAATGTGTTCCTCTTCCTGCTATATTTCTTGGAAATTGCTGATTAAATCGAGAGGCTTTATCAGATTCAGTGAACAGATATTTAAACTCAATACATTATGAGCATTTTCTATATCATTTAATATTCTTTTACATGTCATATTAATGACTACAGAGTTGCCAAAAATAAGAATGTACATCATTTCTTTAGCTGGTCCCCTACTGTCAGTCATTTGGATTGTTCTAATTTTTTGCCACCACACATGACTTGCTGATAAGGCTCCCTATGGACTAATGGTTTTCTGGCCTGATTTGCCTCCCTTCTGGTCTCTTAGTTCCTGCGGATGGTAGATGCCTGCGCCAGCTTCCTAACAGAAGCCTTGAACCCCGAAAACTGTGTTGGAATACTGAGGCTGGCGGACACACACTCCTTGGACAGTCTGAAGAAGCAGGTTCAAAACTACATCATTCAAAACTTTGTGCAGATTCTGAACTCTGAGGAGTTCCTCGAACTTCCCGTGGATACTCTGTACCACATCTTGAAGAGCGATGACCTCTATGTAACTGAGGAGGCTCAGGTGTTTGAGACTGTGATGAGCTGGGTCCGACACAAACAGTCAGAACGACTCTGCTTGCTCCCCTATGTCCTTGAGAATGTGCGCTTGCCACTTCTGGACCCATGGTACTTTGTGGAGACGGTGGAGGCAGATCCTCTTATCAGACAGTGCCCAGAGGTCTTCCCGCTGCTTCAGGAAGCCAGGATGTACCACCTTTCAGGCAATGAGGTGAGTTGACGATGAGCGACCCTGTAGTTAAGCGGCAAAGTAGAGGAGTCAGCAGCCTCACAGAAATACAGGTGAGGCTGGCTTACCAATCCTTAGGAACAGCATGGAGAAGAAGATGCTGCACTGTTCATGGTTTGAGTCAGGCAGTTCCAGAAGCCCTGGATTTCTGATCTGTAAAATGGGGCTGATACTACATTATAAACAGCTACTGAGAGGACTGAGTGAGATAGGAAACCACTAAGCACATCCTTCCTCTTCCCAGTGCGTAGGGTGGAGGTTGTTGGGGGTGACACACACAAGACAGAATGTGCCCTGTCCGGTCGCCATCCCATGGGAGTACTGCTTTCCTCGTTTGCCCTCTCTGGAGAACCGCAAGTCTCTTGGATATCCTATGATGTTACCTTGGTTCAGATTGTCATTGTTTCCTTCCTGAATTTCTGAAAATTCCTCAAAACTCATTGTCCTGCCCTCAGTCTGGCCTCCCTCCAGTTCATTCACCAGCTGGATGATCTAAAACTCAAGCCTAATTACTGTGTTCTTGGGCTTACCCTCTTCACGGCTCCCCATGACTCTCAGGGTAAAGCCCACACACTTCCTGTCTCCGCTCCCAGAGCCACGCCTCACCTACTTCACCTCCCACCCACTTCTCTAATGCCACCTCCAGCCTCTCCCTCCTGCTAGGCTCCTAATGCACTGCTTGCAGTTCCTCAAAGTGGATGTGCTTTTTCATCCACTAATGCAGACTAATGTTCAAGTGCCTTTTTCCTCTCTCAATCTAGTTGACTTCTACTCCAGCTGCAAAAAATTAAAGCATCACCTTCTTCAGAGACCTCTCTCATTCTCATAGCACCTGGTGCATTGCTGTGTCGTAACACCAGCCACCACATGGTAACCATTGACTTCCTCATCTGTAATTGTCTCTATACTGGCAGCTTGTTATGGTCAGAAAAATGTATTATTGGACTTTTCATCTCTAGACCTTACGAGAATCCTTGGTATAGAGTAAGCGATTGGTAAATGTTGAATAAATAAATGGGTACCAAGATGATGAATACACATATCATTTGGATGTATTTGGTTCTCCTTAACAACTTCTGAAGAAATGTTTTATTCAAAACTTCATAAATACAAAAATAGGCTTAGTGGAGAGGAACAAAACTCTCAGGAAATAATAATATAGGGACAGTGTGTTAAGTTTATACACATGGACACACACACTTATATACCACTGTACAATAGTTCTAGGATAGCCTTCCAAACCTTCATTAGGCCATTGATAGATCCTAGCCACAAGTGGTTTAGAAATTGTCCGTATGAGGCCCCTGGAGCCTCCTTCTTTTCTTGTGCGTCCTTTTCTAGTTCTGTGTTGTCCTCAGATCTACTGTCATTGATTCACTCTGTAAATATATCCTTAAATGTTTGGTAGAATTTACCAGTGATACCATCAGAATCAGCGAGTTTGGGGGTTTTTTTTAAAGATTTTATTTATTTATTTTAGAGAGAGTGAGAATGCAAGTCGGGGAGGGAGAGGGACAAGCAGATTCCGCACTGAGCACGGACCCCGATGTCGATCTCACAACCTTGAGATCATGACCCCAACCGAAATCAAGTCTGACGTTCAACCGACTGGACCACCCAGGTGCCCCAGGAGTTTTCTTTGTGAGGTTTTTAACTACAAATTATATTTCTTTAATAGATACGGGGCTAGCTATTTCTTCTAGAATGCACTTTGGTAGTTTGTGTCTTTCAAAGAATTTCCCATTTCATAGAAGTTGTGGAATTTATTAGCATAAAGTTGCTCACAGCATTCCTTTATTATCCTTTTAATATCCGTAGAATCTATAGTGATGTCACATCTCTCATCCAGATATTGGTGGTTTATGTCTCCTCTCTTTTTTTCCTGGTCAGTCTGGTTAGAGGTTTATCAATTTTATCAATTTTCTCAAAGAAACAGCTTCTGGTTTCACTTGTTTTTATGATTTATTTCATTTACTTGTGTTCTGGTCTTGATTATTTTCTTTCTTCTGCTTACTTTGGGTTTAATTTTCTTTTATTTTTTTAAAGTGGATGCTGATGGGGCACCTGGGTGGCTCAGTCGGTTAAAAGTCTGCTTTCGGCTCGGGTCATGGTCCCAGGGTCCTGGGATTGAGTCTCACATCGGGCTCCCTGCTCAGTGGGGAGTCTGCTTCTCCCTCTCCCTCTGCCCCTCCCCACCATTCATACTCTCTCAAATAAATAAATAAAATCTTAAAAAAAATAAAAATAAAGTGGAAGCTGAAGTCATTGATTTGAGAACTTTTTTTCTAGTATTGTCAGTAGTGCTATAAATTTCCCTCTAAGTACTACTTTAACAGCATCCCATATATTTTAATAATCTATACTTTTATGTCTGTATGTATGTATGTATTTTTTGCAAATAAATTCCGAACACCAGCTCTGTGCCAGATATGGCACCAGGCACTACAGAAACAGTCTCTGCCTTATGAAATTTATAGTCTGTCAGAGAAGCCAAGACAGTAAGCGAATGAACGGTGATGAGTAGACTGATGGAGGGAGTTCAGGCAACCATATGGGTCCTACCCTATGCTGGATATGTGGGTCACTCGCAGATGGCTCAGCACTGGGTATCAAAGCCCTCATAAAACTGCAGACAGTGTCTGTCTCTGCAGCTGCTCTCAGTTTAGCATTCAAAGTACAGAGTCTTGATCAACTACGCTTCCAATAGTCTAGCTACTTTTATTTCTGCTTCCTGTTTCCTAAGTCCCTGAAATGCAGGTGATAAAGGTTTTCTGCTGATATAAAATATCTCTGCTCTGCCTTCTGCAAAATTGCTGCTATGAAGTATGTGTTCTGACTTTGGTATTTGCAGTGTGGGGGAGAGTGGCATCATGAGTTTTGGATTTAGGAAAAGAGAATTCTGATATCTGGAAGAGTTTCCAGTGGCAGGACATGGACTTTGCATTTAGGCAGATCTGAGCTTTAATCTTGACTGCACAATTTACTGACTATGTGACCTTGGGTAAGCTACTTAACTGCTTGAAAGCTCTGTCCTGACCTGTAACATGGAGATAATAATGCCTACCAACTGTTACAATTGTTTTGAGAAATTAAATAGGATAATAAATGAGATGTGGTTAGCACAGTGTCTGGTGCATGGTAAGGCTCCACAAATAAAGACTGTTCTCATTCTTTCTCAATTCCTTTATGGTGCACTATTTCTCACAACCAAGCATTTTCTTTCTCTGAAGCTAAGATTTCTCTTTTCTTTTTTTTAAAAGATTTTATTTATTTGTCAGAAAGAGAGTGAGCATAAGCAGGGGGAGCAGAGGCAGAGGGAGAAGCAGACTCCTCGCTGAGCAACGAGCCTCATGAGGGACTCGATCCCAGGACCCTGGGATCACGACCTGAGCCGAAGGCAGACGCTTAACCGACTGCACCACCCAGGCATCCCAGATTTCTCTTTTCATTGTGTCTAAGAGTTGCTGCTTTATTGTCCCAAATCCTCAGAGCACTTTCTCATTCCCATTTTACAGTCTGGGTAACTGAACCAAACAACCACTGTGATCTTCGAATCGAGGTTTCACTGCCAGTTCATTCCCTGAAACTTCCTGTCTGCTCACTGCTTGAATGATCTTGGGTTTCCTCCTGGTAATAGTGGTGTAAGTCTGGAAGCTACTCTCTGAACACACTTTTCCCCTTAACCTTCCTTTTTCAAACTTAAAACCTTCTTGTCCTATCATCATCTCCCCTTTTAACTGTATTCCTCCTCTAAGCTCGTGGAGGCGGCAACAGTGGGAGATTTTAGAACCCTAAAAGCAGACATCAATCTACATTTGATTTAGAAGTGGTAGCTAGTACCTTCATTGAGAGAAATCTTTGGGGGCAGAGATAGTTTCCCCTCTATTTCATTGCCTCCTAAGTTTCCAGCGACCACCTTGATTTATACCAAAGGCTGCTCTGACATGTGTGGTGTTGCTCACTCCTGAGTGAGGCAGAGGCTCACCCCTGAGGACAGCTTTGTTGAAGCAACACGGTCACTTCTGTTGGTCCCCTAGTATAGGCCCTGTTAATGAATAGGCAGCAAAGTGCAATTGTCTGTTCTATTTTTAACAATCTGAAAAGACACTGGTTAGGGCTGATTGTTGCATGTGATTCACTGGAAACCCTCCTATATGTCTGCAACAAACTTGCACATCTCTGACTTCAAGACTGGCCCTTGTCATGCCTTTGGGGTTAATATTTTGTCAAATGTAGCTGAATTTACATTTGATAATAGTGCCACCTGGGAGTTCTGTGGTGCCAAGTGATAAGTCGGGTCTTAATACCCAGCAATTCCATCAACTGGAGTGTTGTATTATCTATTGCTGTATAATAAATTGTCCCCAAACTTCATAGTTTACATTTATTATTTCACAGCCCACAGGAATCTAGGCCTGGTTTAGTTGGGTGGGTTCTGGCTCAGAGTCTCTCATAAAGCTGTAGTCAAGCTGTTGGCAGGGGCTACAGTCATCTCAAAGCTCAAACAATGTTGGAGGATCAACTTCCAAGCCCACTCACAGGATTGTTGACAGGTGTCAGTTCCTTGCTGGCTGTTGGCTGGAAGCCTCCGTTTCTTGCCAGGTGGTCCTGTCCATAGTAGCTGGCTTTTCCAGAGCAAATGGCCCCAGAAAGACTGAGAGAGCCGTCAAGACGAAAGCTGTAGTGCTTTTTATAACCTAGTTTCAGCAGTGGTAAACCATTGCCTCTGCTGTATTCTACTGGAATAGAGGCCTCCCCTGGAACAATCTTGGGGGGACAATATAAGATGTAAATACCCTGAGGTGGGGATTGCTGGGTGCTGCTGTGGAAGCTGGTTACAACCATGATCTAGACTAGGAAAAAGTCTGTATCAGGTCCTGGGTTACCTAGGTCTCCTATTCATTCATTCACTCATTCATTCATTCATTCAACAAATGTTTATAGAAACCCACAATCTCCAAGACTATTCTTGGTGCAGAGGATCCATTGGAGAATAAGGGCTGTTTCTGTCATCAGGGACCTTATAATAAATTACAAGGAAGTAGGAAAACTGCTGTGATGGGGAAATTCAGGACTGTGAGAACATGTATAGAAAGTCAAGAATGGCTTCTTAGAGGAAAGGACAAAGGGACATTACAAATAATGCTAATGACTTAAAGGGTAAGTGGATGGGGAGGTGGTGTGGGAAATCAAGGACAGATATTATGGGGGGGATCCAGATAGCAGGTAGGAATGCAGGGGTTTCTTTTTTTTAAAAAGATTTATTTATTTATTCATTCGAGACACACAGAGAGACAGAGAGAGCACGAGCAGGGGGAGAGGCAGAGGGAGAAGCAGGCTCCCCGCTGAGCCAGGAGCCGGACATGGGGCCCGATCCCAGGATCCCGGGATCATGACCCGAGCCGAAGGCAGACGCTTAACCACCTGAGCCCCCCAGGCGCCCCGTGGAGTGCAGGGGTTTCAATGGGAGCAGAGTCATCCACAGCCCAGGACTCAGGAATGGGGTGCTGGGCTGGGAATCAGGAGTAAGATCACAGCTCGTCCAGTCCCCTACTGGCCAGCAGCCACTGAGGCAGGAGGGCAGCCACTGTGAAGAAGATGGGGACCTCAGAGGAAAGCTGAGGCCTGGCTTTCACAGCTGGAATAAAGGTCACACAGGGACCAATTCTGGGAGCCTAGGGCTGTCCTGTAAGTGTTGCTCCACAATTCCTAATCCTTTTGAAAGGACCGGATTGGTCCTGGAGGTTGCATCTGAACTGTGGGGAGGGGAGATTTAGGGGCATGAACCAGGGCAGATAATGGGAAAGAAAATCACAGAGTGGCAAAATTTGCGTTTGGTGACAACTCATTGCTCAGATCCTGTCCTGCCAGCTTGGTATCCTCACAGTGACTCCAGGTTCCCAGGACCACCCCTTCCACCCTTATCCCAGCTGTCTTCTCCACTGTCAGGGCCCTCAGGTTCTGCCCATGGCCCCACATACATCCCCCACTTCTTTCTGCCGACCTCCAAAGGAGAGCCCTGTGACACACTTTATGGCCATGAATTGAGGATGCAAGATTTACTGTATCTGACTCTTTGGTACAGAAAACCAAAGTCTCTTACGGAAAAGTAGAGGTTGGGTGTTGGCTGGTCTGCTTACTTGTGACCATTGATTGGATTCACCACTTGAGGGGGCAGTTTTTGCTACTGTAACTTGTTTGTCACATCTGTGGTCAAGATTGAAATTTCTCTCTCTCTTTTTTTTTTTTCATTTTTACTGCATCTTTACTTGTACATGTGTTCTTACGTTGCCTAAAACATTTAAATACAAATAAAAGGAGTGTAGCAAAAATAATGAAAGCAAACAGCAGGTAACTTTACAAATAATGGAATGTGAACCGTTTCTGCCCTTATCCAGAGTAAATTGGGTCACAATTAAAGGAACACTTCTGCAACTGTAGTCAAAGGTGTGCACATTGAAGAGTATTCCACAGATACTCATGGTTCAATATGTAATATCTACAGAATACCCATTTCTACTACAGCCTTGTAAGTGCTCCAAACCTTAAAGTACCCACAAAAACTACACCTGTATCTGGAACCAATTATCCCTTTTATTCCCCACCAGGACAAACCAATATGTAGGCAGTTTTCTTTGCTTAGACATGGAAGCAGTTTTAACACTGGCCCTTGTGAAGCCACAATGTACCAAAAGTACTATGCCAAACATTTATAACTAGTATAAAAATTCCACATCCCCATATTGGCCACCTCAAGATGAAAACAGATAACTCCCTAAATGTTAACTGGCTCTACTCCCCTAATATTTAACATAAAAACCACATGGGAAATATAGAAATTCAAATAGAAGTAACATAAACCTGTCATAAATCGTAAACAAAAAAACTATTTGTGGGACAGCATGGATGATGAATGGTCTACTGTGTAAATTTCAGAATGAGGCAGACAAAAGTTGGAAGGCCGGTTAATTTTCCCCTCCTTCTCCTGCTTCAGCTTCGTCTCCTTGGGTGTCCGATGTCCACAATGTCAAGTTGTCTCTCAGTAATTGCATTATTAGCGTGCTGTCTTTGTAGGACTCTTCACTTAATGTATCAAATTCAGCAATGGCTTCATCAAAAGCTGTCTTTGCAAGAGAGCAAGCTTTCTCCGGGGAGTTCAGAATTTCGTAATAGAACACAGAGAAGTTAAGGGCCAGACCCAATCTAATAGGATGTGTTGGTTGCATTTCCTTTTTGCTGATTTCAAAAGCTTCTTGGTATGCTTGTTGTGACTGATCCACAATCCCTTTCTTGTCATCACCAGCAGCAACCTCGGCCAAGTAACAGTAGTAGTCTCCTTTCATTTTCAAATAGAAGACTTTGCTCTCTGCTTGTGAAGCATTGGGGATCAAAAACTTTTCCAAAAGAGACAGTACATCATTGCAGATATCTCTTAGCTCCGTCTCAATTTTCTCTCTGTATTCTCGAGCTATCTGCTGTTTTTTCTCAGCACCTTCCGTCTTTTGCTCAATACTTGAGACGACCCTCCAAGATGACCTACGGGCTCCTACAACATTTTTATAAGCAACTGAGAGAAGATTCCTCTCCTCATTGGATAATTCAGCTCCTTGCTCAGTTACAGACTTCATGCAGGCTGCCATGTCATCATATCGCTCAGTCTGCTCGGCCAGTTTGGCCTCCTGCACCAGCTCATTTTTATCCATGACTGGATGTTCTGTGTCCGGAGTGGGTGGCGGCGGACGGACGGGGGCTCAGCAGTCTCTGGGCGGCAGCGGCGAGGCTGAGACTCTGTCCGTCAAGATTGAAATTTCAAATCCTGTGTGAGGTCAGCCTGACCTTGCAGGCTGCTTTGGTCATTGGGAAATGGGTGCTGTCTCCCATCAGCCCACCTGTCGAACCTTCCCCACTGAGCCCAGGGGATGGATGGAACCAGGAGGAGGGCAGCTCTCCCTTTTCCCTAATAATGCCAATATGCCATCTCTAGCTTCTCCTACTGCCATGACTATCTATTAAGGGCTGTGCCTATGCCAGGTGCTCTGCTCATCCCTCATCCCTCTACATCACAGCCGCATGAATGCTCACAATGACTTGATGACACAGAAGTGATCTCAGGCATTTATGGAGATTGTGTTGCTTCTCCAAGGTCACATAGCCACAGGTGGTGAAACCAGGACCAAACTCTGGTGTACTTGACTTTCAAACCTCTGTTCTTTCAGCTGGTTTCAGATATCTGTGATGTGGATTTCTTTGCTTGTTCAAGGCTCTGAAGGGTCATATCTTTGATGTTGGGACCCAGTCCTCCAACATTCCTTGCCACACCATGCTCCCGTTTGGTTCTTTTTCCCTAAGTCTCCAAGTGCTTTCTGTGCCTACCGTCAGGACTTCTCTTTCAGAAGAGATCTAATGGTGAGCAAAGTCTGGGATATCATTAAGAAATTGAAACCAGGAAGGGGTGGAAGGTGGCCAGAAATGAAATTCCAAGGTTCAAGCCTTCAGACTGGGCAGGAAGGGTGAAGTGCATTTGATGGTAAACAGACCAGGACTTCTTAAGATAGCAGCAAAAGCAATAATAGGTAAGCTTTGTTGAGTATCTATTATACCCCGGGCCCCTTGCAAGCCAGGCACACTACGTATATGATACCATTTCATCTTCACCACAGACCTATGAGGTAGTTACCACTAAAGTCCCCATTACACAGATGATGGAGCTGAGGCTAAAGGTGAGGTCACATGGTGGCAGAGTTGGGAACTGGGCTCTGCTCGGTTTGGCTCCATAGCCTGGGCTCTGAACCTCTGTGTCACCCTGCCTTTATGTACTTCCATTGGTTTTCCAGATCATTTCGGAGCGCACCAAGCCCAGGATGCATGAGTTTCAGTCTGAGGTATTCATGATCATTGGTGGCTGCACGAAGGATGAACGGTTTGTGGCGGAGGTTACCTGCCTGGACCCCCTGCGGCGCAGCCGCCTGGAGGTGGCCAAGCTCCCCATGACGGAGCATGAGCTGGAGAGTGAGAATAAGAAGTGGGTGGAATTTGCATGCGTGACATTAAAAAATGAGGTCTACATCTCAGGTAAGCAGGAGTCACATGATGCCAAAGCAAGCCCCCAGTGGCACTATGCATTTCCTGAGTGAGAGCTAGGCAACCAACTTAGAAGAATTACTGTGAATGGCGATGGTCTAGCTCTGACTGGATCAGCACGTGGGAACCAGGAGCTCAGGTGGTCTTATCTTGGAAAGCGCATTCTTGCTTAATGGACGCTAACCTGTGAGCAGTATTGTACTAGGATCTGGGGGAGCAGGCAGACAGGTCTGGTCTTTCATGGAAAAGGAAGAAGGAAAGTGATACTAGAGTTTATTTGGTATTTGCTAGAGGTGTAGGACACTAAGCTGGGCACTGGGTAATGAATAAAAATGTCTGCTCTTCTCCCCAAACCTGAACCCTCACCTCAAGTTTACTGTCATACTTTTAGATGCTCCAGTAGCACACAGTACTTTGTCATTTCTCACTTCTAAGTTATTTGCTTATTTATAATTACACGGCGCCTGATTCCCATTAGTCCTTAAATTCCACGAGAGTCAATACTGTATTGCCAGTACCTGGCACTGCGCCTAGCTACTAGTAAATACTTAATAAATATTTATTAAGTGACAAAGTCTCTACCATCTTTACAGCACAGTAGATGAATTTACACTTTGGTGGTATTTAATCATTTGCCTCACACATCAACTCTCTAAGGTAGATGATTTTAATCTCCAGTTACAAATGAAGAAAATGCAGGCTCTGAAGGATTATAAAATGTATCTGAAGATAAATCACACACTGGTAAACATCAGGCAGGGTTCCAACCCAGGTTCTCTGAGTCCCATATCTCCCCAAGACATCAAAAGCCACCCAGCTCTTCTTGGGTAATGAAGGAGAGGAGACAAGCATCCTCTGTCCTCTCTCGGAGGCTTTCTCTAATCTGAACTTGTTTGGGGAAGAGCTTCTTCCCAGAACTGGCATCCTCCAAAACCAAGGGCAGGTCAGTTCTTCCCTGGGTATGTTAATACCATAGATTAGGTAATAACCCTTATTTATCTTGTAGAAATATTTTTTTGATTGTTGTAGAAGATTCAAATAATAGAGTGTAAAGTAGAATATGGCAGTTTCTCTGTGCCATTACAATCTTCTGTGTTTTAACTTTTTTACAAAAATAATTTTATATTGGCTTAGAGTAAGTAATGCTAGTTGCTGTCACAAATGCTAAATCTCAATGAATTATTGCAATAGTATGTGGGGGGAGTGGACCTGCTTCACTCAGTCATTCAGGGACCTAGGCTCCTTCCATCTGATCATGCTGCCGTTTTCCACTCGTGGCCTTCCTGGTTGATGCATTTCAGGAAGAGGGAGATACTGAATGAGTTGAGAAGGCACACCTGCTCATAACAGCCTCAGCCTGGATGGGAGGCATCAATCTGCTCACATTCTATTGGCAACAAGTAGCCACACGCCCCCCTGCACCGCCAGCCCCCATGCAGGCGGGCTAGGAAATGTAGTTTAGCTCTGTGCGCAGGAGGAAAAGACAGGTTTGGCAATCACAGTCAGTCTATGTCACATACACTACACATGTTATTCTAGTTTGTCCTTTCCCTCTCTTAGATTTGTTGTTGTCTATTGAAAAATGATACAAGCAATGCATGAAGGCAGGCTTGCTACACACAGTTAAATCACAGAAACTTGTACTTCAATTAACAATCTATTTTGGACATAATTACATGTTGATATAATGAATGTATCATATGGATTAAGTCTATTGAATGAATGAAACACAATTTTTTTAACTTTTATTTTCATAATGGAAAAAATACTGCAATAGGCATTTTATTTTATCTTAGTTTTTTAAGGATTTTATTTATTTATTTTAGGGGGGGAAGAACAAAGGGGGAGGGAGAAGGACAAGCAGACTCCCCACTGAGCGCAGAGCCCCATGCAGGGCTTGAACCCCTGACCCTGAGATCATGACTGAGCCAAAATCAGGAGTCAGGTGCTCAACCGACTGAGCCACCCAGGTGCCCCGTAATAGGCATTTTAATACACATATATTTATGAACTTGTGCTGCTATTTGGAGAAATTCCTGGAGGTGGTCATAAGATATGTCAATTTAGAATTTTTGTAGATATTGTTAAATTGTCCTCCAGAAAGTTTGTACCAATTTACAGTTCAACCAATGTTGAACAACAATGCCCATTTTCTACATCCTTGCTAATATTTTTTATTATCAATTACATTTTTAACAGCTAGAATATTTAATTAATTAATTAATGATGTTAGCATATTTTCATATATTTATTAGCTAACACTTTATTTTAAAAAAATTGTATATTCCTACACTTTGTCTTTCTATTGGATGTATGTCTTTTTATTAATTTTTTGGAGCTCTTATTATATATCCTTTGCTATTTGTATTGCAAATAGTTTCCCTCAGACTATGATTTTCTTTTAACTTTGATTTATATTGTATATAGTAACTTTCTTTCCTGTGTGATTCTATGTTTCATGTCATGCTTAGAAAGCCCCTCCCCACCCCAAGATCATCAACATCTTCCCCCAAATATTCTCCAGTTACTTTTATACCATTTATTTATTTTAAAAAATTTTTTATTGTTATGTTAATCACCATACATTACATCATTAGTTTTTGATGTAGTGTTCCATGATTCATTGTTTGTGCATAACACCCAGTGCTCCACGCAGAATGTGCCCTCTTTAATACCCATCACCAGGCTAACCCATCCCTCCACCCTCCTCCCCTCTGGAACCCTCAGTTTGTTTTTCAGAGTCCATTGTCTCTCATGGTTCATCTCCCCCTCCGACTTACTCCCCTTCATTCTTCCCCTCCTGCTATCTTCTTCTTTTTCTTTTTTCTTAACATATGTTGCATTATTTGTTTCAGAAGTACAGATCTGTAATTCAACAGTCTTGCACAATTCACAGCGCTCACCATAGCACATACCCTACCCAATGTCTATCACCCAGCTACCCCATCCCTCCCACCCCCCACCACTCCAGCAACACTCAGTTTGTTTCCTGAAATTAAGAATTCCTCATATCAGTGAGGTCATATGATACCTGTCTTTCTCTGATTGACTTATTTCACTCAGCATAACACCCTCCAGTTCCATCCACGTCGTTGCAAATGGCAAGATCTCATTCCTTTTTATGGCTGCATAATATTACATTGTTATACCATTTATTTTTGAATTTTATTTTAACCATAATGTGAAAGAAGGTTCTAACTTAATTTTTCTCCAAATAAACAGCCAGTTGTTCTAATACCATTGACTTAATGATGTTTATATCTTTCAGTCTCTTCTGTATTCATTTCATTGGTCAGTTTGATTATCTGATGCCAATACCACACTGCTTTCATTATCATAGCTTTTTACTGTATTTTGATGTTTGCTAGGAAAGCCTTATTCATTCTTTTTAAAAAGTTTCTTAGAAATTTTTCCAAATTTACTCTTCCAAATGAAATTTAGAATGATCTCTTCAAGTTCCCTGAAAAGTTCTGAAGGCACTGAATGTATCAATTAACTTGGGGAGGGTTGACATCTTTGCAATAACCTGTCTTCTCATCTATGCACATGAAATGCTTCCCACTTAATCAGGTCTTCCTTTACATCTTGAAGTAAAAAATCATAGATTTTTTTTTCTTTTTAATACAGTGTACATACATTTCTTTGAAAGCATGTAGTTATTTTATAACTTTTTTTAAAAAAGATTTTATTTATTTGAGAGAGAGAGCGTGTGCATGCACGTGTGAGGTGGGGAGGGGCAGAGGGAGGGAATCTTAAGCAGGCTCCCCGCAGACTTCCAACACGGGTGGGGCTCAATCTCATGACCCTGAGACCATGACCTGAGCTGAAATCAAGAGTCGGACACATAGCTGACTGAGCCACCCAGGCGCCCCTATTTTATAACTTTTGACACTACCTAAATGAGATCAATATCACACACACTGTTTTGAATAGAGACCTCTCAAATGTATACAACCCAAGGAAAAATGGTTAAACTATATGAACAAAAAATACATGGAAGAGGAAGAAGCTCAGTTTCCCTAGCAGCCAGGAAAAACCAAACTATGACAGTACTTTTCTCCATCAGCCTATAAAACAAAACAAACCAAAAAAAAATGCTCTTAATATATGCTGTGGGTAGGGTGGGGGAAGGTCAACCAGGACAGCTGTGGAAGGCTCTTTGGCAACACCTATAAAAATTCAAAGTGTGTGTGCCCTTGACTTAGAAATCTCACTTCTGGGCTCTACCCTAGAGAAATGCTTACCCAGGACACAGAACATCATCAGTGATACACCTTGCCCTACTAGTGCACATTTATAAGTCTGAAAAGTACATCTTTTGCTTTAAGTAGTTGGTGGTACTCTGTGCTGATGAGGAATGGAAACACAAAGCTGATAAAATATTTTATTAAAGTCACCAAAAAAGTCAGTTCTCCTTTATCTTGGTCTCTCACCCTAACTGAATTATGTATTTTCTGTTTATTGAGAGAGTGGTCTTGAAAAAAATATTTACCAGCTCATTCTCAAATTACCTATTGTGAGCATCTCATTCTTTTATAAAAAAAAATATTTAACAATAGGATAAATTCCACTTATGTTTTTTGTATAGATTGGAGATTTGAACTGAGACAATTTTGTAAGATTTCTTGGTGATTTTTCCAGGTTTGTATTTGTCTAAATAAGTAAGCAAACAGAACTTAAGGTGCCTTCTAATTTGGCTGCTGGTCAAGGACCTACCATCCCCACCCGCAATCGTCCAATCTCACCTGACCTGCCTTACTTCCTGCCCCTTGGCTGCACAGACACTGAGTCCAGGCACCTGCTGGCCCCTACCCACCCACATGGACTTGGGTGCCGATTTCCTGAAGACTTCTCTGAACCCAACTCATTCAGCCACCTCTTCTCTGAACTCTCACAGCACAGAGGTGACACACGACACAGTCCTGGTACACAGTTCACCCCAGCCTCACACTGGCTCTCTTTCTATCCCTCTGTGTTGGCTCTGTCTCCCCAACCAGACGACACACACCTTCACAATTTCTTAAGGACTGTGGGAAATTATGGGACAAGCTGTATTTCTGACACATCTGGTGGTTTCTTAAATGCTCTGTATCTCTTCTAGGTGGCAAAGAAACACAGCACGATGTTTGGAAATATAATTCTTCAATCAACAAATGGATTCAAATTGAGTATTTGAACATAGGCCGCTGGAGGCATAAGATGGTGGTGTTAGGTGGCAAGGTCTATGTGATTGGAGGTTTTGATGGCTTACAGAGGATCAACAACGTGGAGACCTACGACCCCTTCCATAACTGCTGGTCAGAGGTATAGGAGATTTCCTTTTTTTTTTTAAAGATTTTATTTATTTATTTGAGAGAGAGAAAGAGCACAAGCAGGGGGCGTGGGAGAGGGAGAAGCAGGCTCCCTGCTGAGCAGGGAGCCCGATGCGGAGCTCGATCCCAGGACCCTGGGATCACGACCTGAGCCGAAGGCAGAGGCTTAACCGACTGAGCCACCCAGGCACCCCAGGAGATTTATTCCTATGAGTGACTTTGTGTTACTACTTCAAAGCTTAAAAAAAAAAAGTATTTGCCAATGTAGGTATATGGCTTTCTGATTTCTCTGCTCGCACTGAGAACATTGTTGGTGGCTCTGAGCTTCCCTCCTGAAAGGAGCCATTGCTTCAGCATTGCTGATCAGGTCACAGAAACAGCTTCCTTCCAGGTGGGGAAGCTCTGTGTGGGCAAGAACCCCAGATGGAGAGGGGAGGCTTGGTCCTAACCTCAGTCTGCACGTCTTAGCTCAGAGTCTCTGTCTCCTCAGATGCCATCTGTTGTCTCCACAGTGGGCCTACAGGGATCCCTTTACTACACTGTTTACTGAGTCAGAGTCATTTGGTAGTGTTTAGAGGTTAGCCCTTATTTATTTGCCTATTGATGATGAACCATTTATATGCTGCTTGTAAGACTTTAGCAATTCAACCTTAGGTGTATATCATTGCTAATCAGTGGGCATAAAGTTTCAATTATGCAAAGTGAATAAGCTCTGGAGATCTGCCTACAGATAACAGTACTGCATTTTATGCTTAAAATGCATTTTATGCCTAAAAATGTGTTAAGAGAGATCCTTTTGTAGTTCATAAGCATGATGATGTCGTGTTCACGCCGTTGTGTGACACGTGCCTCCCTCAAACCTTGTTACAACCTTGGCACATTACCCTCTGATGTGGGAAAAAATTTGCTAAGAGAGTAATCTCATGTTAAGTGTCCTTACAATAATAATAATAATAATAATAATAATAATAATAATAATAAAGTAAAATGAACTCAATTCCTGTATCTTCAGGTTAGGCCCAATCTCAAATTTTCTTTCTCCTTACCAGATCATATGTCAGAGTATGTTCCACTTTGGGGAGTATAAAACATGATCATCAGAGGCACAGGCAAAGGTAGCCAGGTCTTCATGGCATCCAGCAAGATCTGTCAACCTGAAAACTGCTATAGAGCCCTTAATATTTATGGGGGTGCGCCCCAGATCTGCTCAACTTGTCAAGTCCCATTACAGAGTTGCTCCATGACCTAAGAGGGCCATGTCAGTGGATAAGAGGCTCTGGGAAGTGCCCTTGAATGCTGTGGGGTTCACACAAATCTTCATGCTACCCCAGAGTGGGAGTCTGCTTATCTATGGCCGCCTGAAACCCTTATACCAGCTTTTCTTCCTAGATGTAAGCAATATGGCCAATACCTGGCACAGAGTAGGCACTCGTATTTTTTAAATGAAAGAACACATGAATGAATATAAATATGCATGTTTGAGAAAGCATTTTCCTCCAACATTGGTTGGTTTCATCTGTATAAATGTTTATTCCTATGTACACCTTTTCTCCCCTGATAGCTGGACTTTGGAAGAAACAGGCTGGAAACATCCGTCACTCAGCCTGTGCTAGCCTGTCCTGAGTCTGCAGGGAGGGTGGGAAATACATGCTTTGACCTCTCTGCATCTCAAAGGGAGTCAAGCCCACAGGCCTTGTGACTTCAGGCAAAGGATGCCCAGGCTTGTGTCCCCTAGCTCCTGGCCTGTGTGCTGTGAGCCGCGGCAGCAATCTGGGAGCAGTCTGTAGCTGTGGGGCTGACAGCTTCTCCCGGTGCCCTGTGCCTCTGCAGGCAGCGCCCCTTCTCGTCCACGTCAGTTCCTTCGCAGCCACCAGCCATAAGAAGAAGCTCTATGTGATTGGGGGCGGACCCAATGGGAAACTGGCCACAGACAAGACTCAGTGTTATGACCCTTCAACTAATAAATGGAGTTTAAAGTCGTCCATGCCAGTGGAGGCTAAATGCATCAATGCAGTCAGTTTCCGGGATCGCATCTATGTTGTTGGTAAGTGAATGAATGGCATCTTATTTATCTGAGGCCCCCCACCCATGCAGTCTTGCAGGTAGATCAGATAAGGCCCTCCTGAGAACTCACAGATTCCTGGGAGATGTGGGTGAAGTTGAAAAGGAAGAGAAGATGGGATTGGTCCGGGCCTTGGTGGAATTTACCTTCCCGTCCTGGATACAGAAACAGCCCACTTTTAGGGGACATATAAAGCAGACTGACAGCGGGGCCCAGTGGACGAGCCAGAAGTTGCTACAGGAACGAAGCATATTGTAAACATTAGCAAATGTACAGAAATTGAAATGTGCACAGTATATATGGTAAGTGACTGATAAATAGTAGCTATCATCATTTCTTATTTTGTGTTCATGGGAATTTTACTCTTTCCACTTGCTTTGGGGGCTCTGAAAAGTTGCATTTAGCCAAAAGGAAAGCGTGGCTGGCCAAACCAAAGTTGGCATGTAATTGTTAAGGATGATGGATCTCAATCCTGACTACTCATGAGAATCACCTGGGGAGCTTTTTACAGAAATATGCATAGCTGGAGCTTACCCCAGACCAATGATATCAGAATGAGAAGGAGGATGCTGGCCAACAGTGCAAGGTGTTTCTAATGTGCAGGTGATTTTCCAGGGCAGCCATGATTGAGAGTCGCTGATTTAAGGAGATGCCAAAAATACGTAACTCCAGCAAATAAGAGCTAATCAGAGAAGGCTTCCTGGAGGCAAAATACAGGAAGAGATTAAGGAAAAACCCCTTCTCACCCTTGCTTCAGGTTTCCTGTATCTGGTCAGTCTCATGACTTCAAAGCTCATCTTAAGATGGTGACGTGGACTGGTGTCCCAGGTCATGCTCAGTCTACAAAGAGATGCCACTGCCTCTAGTCACTGCCATGTGTTGATAGCTTCTATGCACCAGGCCTTCTGCAGGTGCTTTATACGCATGGTCCTTCTCATGTCTTAAAACCACCACGGTCTCAGGGCTTATGGTTACAATAAAAATGTGGCAGAGCTGGGGTGACAAGCTGAGTGCACCCGATGCACCAGGTGGTATTTCCTCCAGGGAGCAGTCTTAGGGTACATTTTGGCAGCACATGAAGCCAACTGTCCTTTTGCACGTGATTAGCGCCTGGCCACAGAGTTTAAAGGGCTCTGCGAAGTGTTTCTAGCATGAGACTTACTGCCCTGCATACCCACTCAGCTTCCCGGAGAGCCACGAATCTACCCTTTCTATTAGCAAGATGGTGGATTTGACCGAGCAGAAGTAGGACTTTTGTGGGTAAAGGGGAAGAAAACCAGAAGAACAGCGAGATGCCCACCGTGTTTCCCTTCCTCTTCAGGAGGGGCCATGAGAGCGCTGTACGCCTACAGCCCCCTGGAGGACAGCTGGTGCCTGGTGACCCAGCTCAGCCACGAGAGGGCCAGCTGTGGCATCTCGCCCTGCAACAACCGGCTCTACATCACCGGGGGGCGGGACGAGAAGAACGAGGTCATCGCCACTGTGCTGTGCTGGGACCCTGAGGCCCAGAAACTAACGGAGGAGTGCGTCCTGCCCCGGGGGGTGTCGCACCACGGCAGCGTCACCATCAGGAAGTCTTACACCCACATCCGGAGGATCGTGCCCGGGGCTGTGTCGGTGTGACTGCACGAGGGCGCCGGGCAGGGCCGCGGGGGCTCGGGGCCAGGTGCCAGGAGACCTTCCTCCTCATCTGTCGCCGGGTCCGTGCCACTAAAGACAGCAGGCTGGGCTTGAGCTACAGGCCCTACACCTGGGCTCCCCGTGGCTTCCCGTGGGACTCCTTGGAAGTCACAGCTTTGGGACACTTGAGACCAGCCAGGAATGTTTGCGTGACCTACCTCAGGAGGAAAGAAGAAGAATATTTAACATTCAGGACACACCTGTCCCATGCCAGGTTCTGTGCCAGGCACTTGTGTATATCAATTCATTTAACCATAACGACCTGGTGACTGGATATTATCACTTCAGTTTTACAGGCAAGGAAACCGAGTTTCAGAGAGGCTAAGGGCTTTGCCCCTGGTCACTCTGATTGTAATTAGCTAAGCCAGGAATCTAAACCCAGGTCTTTCCATTGCAAGGTCAGTGGCGTTCTGTCATGCTGTCTATCTCCGAGTAGGAAACAAAAACTGGCTCATTTTTTGTTCTGACACGTTTGCTAAAGGATTCACTCAGAAAGGCAGGGAAATAAAATTGTTTCTTTTTGTTCTTTTTTTCTTCTATTAGAGCCTTCAACTCCTTGTCAAGAGTGTCTCATATGTTGTTTTCTCTGACAGGACGGGGAGATGGGTCTGGGAAGACCTATATGCTTTGAAAGAGATAAAAGACTTTTCCCCCATCAAAACCTCTGTTTCTTATATGTACCTTATAGAGGTACATTCAGACCAGAACTGTCATCCCCAGACAGAATTGTACCTTCAGCACAGGGCACTGGCCTGGCCTCTTCATGTCCAATACCTGTATTGCAACGTAGAAAGGATTTTCCAGAGACTCAGAATACTATTTTTTTTTTTTAATGTAAACATCCCTCCACTGCTGACCACTGCAGGAATGGCTGATTCTTTTTGAACTGTATACTTTCTACCTTTTAGACTGTGATTTGAGTCCTTGTGCCTGAGTCCTTGTCACCTTCCTGGAACCTTAGTTTTCAGGATCCTTTGAAGCCCTTCTATTGGGTTTTCGGATCAGTCTGGCACAATTTGGACTCAAAGAATGGAGTCTGTCCTTCACTCTAAGAGAGAGAGCTTTCAGATGAGCTCACTGGAAATTCATTCTAATCCCCAAATTGGGGAAACAGATTAAGAGATCCTGTTTCATGTGCCGTACTTAAAAGCAACAACAATGGTAATGACATAGTAACGGCATTACCCAGTGTGTTTTATTTTCATCATATGATTTCAAATCTCTTTACAGAGTTTTATTTCATGGCAGATGCGGCAGATCGTGCTTATACTTCTGAGTAGTTTGGGAAGTTAGAGGTATTAGAGTTGATAGTGCGTTGAATTTTCATAGAAAAGTTATGGTTAGAAGAGGCTAAAGTTCAAAGCTGATTTAAAAAAAAAGACTTGGAACATTGCAAATGAGATTTCTATGTACGCTTAGGTCATTGAGAATAAATATAAACGCATGTCGGTGTGTGAAAAGCTCTGTGCCTTAGGGTCAGGTTAGGTTTAGCTCCCTGCTCCGAAAAGCAGGATGGGAAAATACAAACATATTTGTGGAAATTTAGAACACATTGCAGTAAGTGATGCACTTACTCATGAGCACTAATAATCTTAATGAAGCTTTCAACTGAAACAATTTAATCTAGTTCCATTTAGCAAACATTCAAGGTGTTCTTTCTGTTTGTCAAGCCTTGGGGACACCAATGAATAAGACAAATTCCCCCCAACCAAGAAACACTCAAACCGGTAAACAGGTCACGAGTCGACATTATAATTTTTCTTTTCATCAAGTTAGAGAAAAATGAGATGTATGAGGTTACATCCATGTCTTTATTGCCCTCCCAGTGGTCATCTTGAAAAGCTGTGCTCTTGGGTCAATGATGTGGCCATTGCTTACATATTTGACTTTTTTGAGATCACTTTCAGAAACTATTTATGAGCTATAGAGAAATCATTTTCCCAAGACCATTTCAGGGAAGAACTTCCAAGGAGGCTATCTAATGACAACATCAATGGCATATGCAGAGAGGTCCCCTCAGAAAGAGAGTGTCCCTTGTCATGGCAGTCCTTTGATAAGAGTAATTAGCAAATTTTGCGCCCATCAGTGGATCAGCCCTACTCTGGGAAAGTGTGGATTTAGGATCTTTGTGTTATAAATCTGGTTCTAACAGCAGGACCCAAGTATCAGGACTAGTTCAGAATATAAACGAAGGCAAGGGAAGGATTCAATGTGATATGTCACCAGATATGCAGGTGAATTGTAAAATCTCAGGAGCCTGGCTCTCAAAAAATAGAGATTCTCAATAATGGCATGGGTTGGCAGACAGTTACACCTGTTAAGGCTGTACAGAATTCTGCACTAAAAGCTGCCAGTCAGCAGCTTTTAGGGAAAGAAAAGAGTTCAAGTAATTTGGGGAAACTTTAAAAGCATATCGGGATTTAAGCTTCTAGGCACTAGCCAGGGATGGAAACTCTTAAAATCTAATTTCCATTCACAGATAATCAAAAATTTAGTTTGTGTAGCTGTCATAACCCGTCCCACCAGCAGGGGGATGAGGCAGAGCGGTGCCCAATGAGCCAGAGGCAAAGGGCCCGGGGACTGAGGCAGGGCATGTGGCCCAGCGGACTGGATCTGGAAGCAGGTCGTGTGAGGGAACAGAGCGCCCCTGGCTGGGAGGAAGAGGAGGTCGGGTTTAAGGATACAGGTCTAGAAAATGATATCATGGTCCCTAGAGTTTGTGAGCATGACTCCATTCTCAAAGGCAAGGGAGATGAGGAACAGGTGGTTCAGGCAAGTGGGTTCCAGGAGAAGAGAGGCACAGGTTCAAACAGGACTGGCAGCCAGACCCACTTTTTGGGGTGCTCTGAGCTGCTCGGCTGGGTCTCCTATTTTACTGGACCTAAGGAGAATGAGGCCCAGAGGCTGTGATGGGATGGAAACTGTAGGAGAGGTTAAAGGACCCCAGTTGCCACGCTGATCTGAAATGGGCAGGGAGCTAAGCTCACCTGAACATCAACAGGTAAGTGTTCTTAGCCGTCACCACATTCTGCAATCAGTGGCTTCAGGAAACACACACACTCACACACCGCCCTTGAACTCAAACTGTGCTCTCAGGGAGATACAAATATCGTTTGCTTATAGCTGTGAAACTATAGCTTTGCTATTTATAAAAGCACTTGAGGTACTGTTGTCATTTACGAATCCTACTTGATTTTGAAAATGAAAAGTACTCAGAGTTTTCAAAGTGGGTAAATACCACTGGAATTTCTTACAGAAGGTCCTAACTTGGGGTTGCAAAATCATTTTTTCCCTTAACATCTGATTTGAGTGTTGTATTAGATCTCATAATCTGAAGAGCCATCCTTCACGGAAATCCACAAATATCTCACATACGGCTCTTGCAAAACCAATTTTGACAGGCCGAATTTTCATATTTATAGGTAAAAGAGTTGATGCTTAGTTGACCAAATCCTTTAAGCATTTCGGTTACGTGAATTTGTATTTTTTTTAAACCATCAAACTAAGGATATTGTTTATACATAAATATACCAATAAAGTTTGTATTTATTCAATCAGGAATGAATAAATGTGTGGAATGGATAAGAATGTGTTTTACACTAGGTGAATTTTTTTTTGCTTGTTTTAGTTGATATGAGTAAGTGGTATCTGAATAGAAATTAATTTAGGAGGTGGAAATTTAAAACATTTCAGTTGGTTCAACAGGGTTTCAATAAAATCATAGGATAGAATTGATCAGAGGTGGTCTATAGAATGGTAAAAAAGTAAACAGCTTTTCCCTCCCTGAAGTCTCATTGCCTCTTTGAACATGCTTTTACCAACCCACTCGCAAACTGTATGACTCTCATCTTGCCTGCATTACCCCTTCTTACAGGAGGCCCCCTTCTAGGTTTCTGATTTCTGGTCTGACTCTTAACCCTGCCTTCACCAATGTCACTGTGTTGTTTCTGAAGCCTTAACCGACCTGTGTTTCTCAAATCAGGGCACATGGAACTTGGCATGTGAGACGGAGAGCGGTAGTTTTCGGCCACTGGAAAACTTGTCATTGGTTTCGTTTGTTTTGAATAACATTACGAAGATTCTATGCCACTGAAAAGGAAAACCTGAGGTTTTAAAGAAATGTGGGGTCACATGAATAACTTTAGACCATTCCTCCTGGCCTCCCTGGAAATAGAGGTTCTGGCTCCTCTTCTTTGGGGACTCTGGGTGGAAAAGCTTGGGAAGCACAGCCCCATCTCACGGATGGGAAGTGCTCTGGAGTTAATCCTGGGCAGTAGCTCCCACAGCCAGCGCACCAGCTGTGAGTCAAAATGGGGTTTTGACCTTCAATTCACTGCTCAGCCCTCCAGTTTCCCTGCTGAGCTTAAGTGGTAATCTGATGCCTGGGCTGCTTAGCCAGGGCCTGGCATCTGCCCAGCTTTCCTTGGCTCCTCTCCCCGCTCCTGGTGCTCTCTGCTGGTGTGTGGCATCCTCTGGACCAGCCTCCTTTTCACTGAAGCTGTGGCCATTATATAGGATCTCAATTCTCCCCTACCTCCTGTGGGCTCATACTTCATCTTCTGTTCTTTTTTTTTTTTTTAAGATTTATTTATTTGAGAAAGAGAGCACGCGCACCAGCAGGAGGAGGAGCAGAGGAAGAGGGAGGGGGAAAGGATCTCAAGCAGACTCCCTGCTGAGGTCAGAGCCCAACGTCCTGGGGCGCAGTCTAACCCTCCTGAGATCATGACCTGAGCCGAAACCAAGAGTTGGACGCTTAACCGACTGAGCCACCCAGGCGCCCCTTATTTTCTGTTCTTATACGCACGCTGCCACAATTCAAGACCCTTGGTGCTGGGGACTCATTTGGGTCAGGTCCCCCCCACTCCCAAGCTGCCCGGTATCAGCCTGCCTAATTACCAGTCACTCTGGTTTCACTTCCATGCTTGTTTCTAACTCCTAGGGATTTTCCTTTTCTTCTTGCATGCTCAGATAGCTCCTTTATTATTGATTCTTGCATGACAGGCTACCTGGACGCCCATGCCTGCCCCATCTCTGGTCATCCGCCCGAGTCCCTAACGTGCTGCCTCCCCTGGGGTCTCCAAACACAGAAACCTCATTACCCTTCTTGTGTTGACATCTAGCTATCCTATCACCATAGTATCTCTCAGGTCCTCTAATTTCTGAAATTTGGAGAAAGAGCAAAAGAAGGAGATTTCCTGACTACAAATTCTTTAAAAAGGTTTGTGTGTAAGGAAACTTTACTTTCCCTTAGTAAAACTAACCCAGTTCCTCCAAGTTTGTAGTAGAGGGAGAAACTCCCAGTGGGGACAGAGAGTTGGATCTCATAGCCCCAACTCTTATCCCTGTAAGGAAAGAGTCCTATACATGGCTCTCCATTTCCCAAAGGACATCACAGACCAGGCTGGAACAGCTGAATAAGACTTTACTAATGACTTAGAGA